TTTTCATATATGGTGGACATGTAAAGTTGCAAAAAAGTTTGGGGTATGGGTACATGAGATATTGCAAAAAATGCTAGAAATAACATTACCATTTGTACCAGAGTTGTTTTTATTAAATATTGTACCACAGAATTACAAAAAAACAGAAATATACTTGATTATACATGTAACAACAACAGCCAGGATATTGTATGCTAAATATTGGAAAAAAGAAGAAATTTCAACAAAAGAAGAAATGATATATAAATTATTGGAAACAGCAGAAATAGATAATTTACCTTTGCAATTACAAGATAAAAAAGAAGCGAGAAAATCTGGTTAAGATTATACAAATGGATAGAAATTTACCTTGGAGAACTGATAATGTGATTATAATCAAATGAAGAACTGCTCTAACATTGTATATAAACTGAATTAGGTGTAAAAGAAAATTTAAAAAAAAAAAGAAAGAAAATTTCCAGAGATCACCTGCATGCCCAGACCTTTACAGCCTGGCATCTAGCTTTCCTTATATATAAAAAGAGAACATTCATTTGTTGTGGCTATCCAATTGCACTCAACTAGGCAAGCAACAATAAATATAAGTAAATATAACAATTTAAAAAAAAAAAGAAAGAAAATTTCCAGAGATCACCTGCATGCCCAGACCTTTACAGCCTGGCATCTAGCTTTCCTTATATATAAAAAGAGAACATTCATTTGTTGTGGCTATCCAATTGCACTCAACTAGGCAAGCAACAATAAATATAAGTAAATATAACAATTTTACCTTTCCATTCATATCTCTCGCAGCATCCTTGGCATCTGCAGGGCTCTCAAAGGTGACAAAAGCAAATCCTCTTGACTTATTGGTTTCACGATCTTTCATCAGAAGAACTGAAGACAAAACAAAGTGTCATTCCGCTAGCTCATGACACAGAAAAATACTGAGTTTTTACAGAAACTTGCTCAGAACTTCTTAGAGGACAAACAAGCTCTATCATTTCAGCTGATCAGGGCTGTTAAGTTCATCATTGCAAAATTAACTATAACATCACTTAAGATGCTTTGTGCTTACCTTCCACTATGCGACCATATTTGCCAAAGATAGATTCAAGAGCCTTCTCATTTGTCTCTATATTCAGCCCACCAATGAACAGCTTTCCAGGACGATCTGCTTCCACCATTTTTACACTATCTGGGATTTAGAACAAAAATGCAATTGTTGGAGAAAACTGAAATGCTTCCACGTTGCCAATGGAAAACTTTGCTGTATTCTCTGGGCTCAGATACACCTAAGACAGACCTGCCCTCTTAACAGATACTGAAGATGCTTATTAGGTCTTTTGTTTGGAAACTTCAAGTCCTGTCAAGTTAAGGAAAGGACTTCAACTTTAAAACGGGTCTTAATACTGTAGCTTTCAATTAGGCACATCAACTTGATATCAAAAGCTTCAGTACTCTCTCCCACAACCACCTTCTTGAACCTGTGAAAAACATGAAAGGGATGTGGATCCAAAGGAAAAGGGAGAAATAGTGTGGTATAGTGTTGGACCAGGGAGATTTTAACTCAATCCATAAGGTCTCCTGCATAATCCAGAGGCAGTCTGTCCTCCCATCCCACCCTAATCTATTTCACAGGGCGGTTGTGTGGGAGAAAAAAATGGGAAGAGGCCACCCACATACAAGAAGTCTCTGGAGAGGCATCATGTGAGTTTTCAAAATAAATATACTACTAAACGATATAGTGAGCGTGATGAATGAATGAAAACACTAGTAAGGAGGCGGCCAAAAAAGCATCAATTCGCTTTTTAATACCGAACTACACTCCACAAAACCGAACTGGGGGGAAAAAAAGGCCGAGGATTAGGCAGAGAGCGCATGCGCACTGAGAGGTGGTGGGCAAATATATGAAAAGACGCGCCGAGAACCGATGGGTAGGAGGAGAAAGTATGGCGCGTGCGCATACGACTTCTCCCTGCACGCACGCCAACCGTCCTCAAACCGGGCCCTGGCGCGGGGGGGGATTAAAAAGGAGCGCCTTCGAACAGCCACAAAATGGCGGCCCTAGTCTCTTTCTCCCGACCCCTCCCCCGTTCAGTTCAAAGCGCCCATTCCGGGGCTGTCCTCAGGCGGCCACTCGCTCACTCCCCTCAGCCCTGCTCTACGGATTAAAATGGCGCTTAAACATCCATGAGGGGAAAGGGGGTGTGGATAAAGCGAGGGTAACCAGCGAAAGGGGGACAAAAGCCCTCCACCCAAATCTGATAGAGCAAGTTGAGGTGATAGGAATAGGGAAGAAAAACAGCCGTTTTACCTGCCCGGCGACTGCCTGCTTAAAAAGCTGCCTTGCACACTCACTCTTCACCAGCAAGCAGGACCGCAAACGACGCACTGAGAAGGAACAAAGGGGTTGCGGGCCTTTATATAGCTGACGTCAGTGCGTTGCCGAACGATGCGGAGAAACCCGGATGGAAGAAGGGGCGGGAATTGAGAGAAAGGGAGGGGAAGATTAGGTTTGCTCAGAAAGAGAAGAAAGACATGGGCGAAGGGGCATAAAGAGGGGAAGGCTAGCAGGGCGGGCCCGAACAAAGGTTCAGTTTGTTTCCCACGGCGGCTAGCCAGCTGCTCTTGGAAGGACTCGAAACAAGGCTCCCGTTCTCCTGTTGCTGTTCTCTAGCAACTGGAATGAAGCCACCATGGGTTCATAGCTGCTGATGGTCTGTGTGTGTCACCTTTTTAAAAAACATCTCTATATCCTGTAGTAGTGTGTTCCGTAACTCAACGTGCTTGTTGCAAAGATTTCCAAATCTTGGTTATGTACAGCAAATAAATACTTAGTGCCGTCATGGCATAGAGGTTAGAATGGCAGAGGTGGCCTAGTCTGCCTCACAGGATTGTTGTGAGGATAAAATGGAGGAAAGGAGAAGGATGCTGTGAACTTTGTTGGTTCCCCATTAGGGAGAAAAGCGGGGCATAGATATCTAAATAAATATTCCACCTATTAATTTAATATATTCCTTTCTAAATGTTGAGGTTGTGCAAGAGTCAGTGCAGCCCTGCAGTTAGAGAGCTGTACTGTAACTGAGGTTCACTCGGCAGTGAAGCTCTCCGGATTAATCTTGGGCCAATTGTTCTCTCCCGTGGTTGCTGCAGAAATAAAATGGTGGGCTGCTGAGCTACTTATTAGGAGTAAAATAGCCTAAAATGCAATGTAAAAGTAATAATAATTTAACAATTTAATTGGGTGATTCTGAGATATGAGAAAGGGAGAAAAAATTCTCTGTATCCAGTGTCTTGCAAATAAAAAGGCAGGATGAGAATCTGAAGCTATTAGTTGTAGATTTTCTGGGCTGTATGGCCGTGGTCTGGGTACTCTAGGACCTGATGTTTTGCCAGCAGCTGTGACTGGCATCCTCAGAGCTTTAACACAGAAAGATGGAGTACTCTCTGTGTCAAGGTGAGAAGAAAAACCTTGATACAGAGAATACTCCATCTTTCCTTGTCCTACAAGACCACGGCCATACAGCCCGGAAAATCTACAACAACTAATGAACTCCAGCCATGAAAGCCTTTGACAACATATAGAATCTGAAGCCTTTGGTTAATAATGTGTAAGTGATATGTTTATGATAGTTTTAACACACCTACCTTACACACATAATAATGGCCCAGTCGTACACGTCTCTCCTTAACAAAAACTCCAATGAGTTCAATCGGACTTTGTTAACAATGTGTATTCAGGATATTTAGCATGTGTTATAGCATTTCATGTATTCAGACCTCTTCACAAACATTTTTCTGAAGTCCTTACAACAGTACTGCCAGATAGGCCAGTATTATCTCCATATTATAGATGCAGTGAGGCTATGAGGGTAGGTTCCGTGAGACCACCTAAATAGACTGTGGGATTGGTGAGTTCTGTGTGCTCCTCACTTCTCCCTCTGGCAAGAAATTCTGGGGTCAGGGCTGGGTTGGTTCCCTTTGGACAAGAGAAGCTTTGCGCAGTGGCAGTATCGTAGCCAATGGGGTTAATCCGAGGCACGATTATTGCTAATTGAAACTTTGGACAAGCGGACACTGGAGACATACTTTTATAGTGTTTGCTTTATTTTCAAATATACAAGTAGATCACAGGAGTGAAGAGGCACTCCTATAGGCCATCAGGCCCATATGTGATCTCCAGAGAAAGAGATCCTGCACCTCCAAGGATCTTCAGCCAACTCAGCAGGGTTGATCTGCTTCTCCTTTTCCACATTGGTTATCTCTCTGCCGTAGATTAAGTGCAGTTGGAATGTGTGTGTCCCATCCTCCCCCCCCCCCCCACTTCTCCACAGCATTGTGGTGCAAACCTTCTTTGCTACAGTGTTTTGGAAAGGATCACAGCAAAGCCTGAGTGGCTACTGTACAAGTATCTATTCTAGCTTCTTTTGTTGTAGAGATATACCTTTCCTGTTATACCTCCATAATGAAGGGGGGATGCTTTTTTAAAAGTGAAAGCTGGGAGTGAAGAGAAGCTGACACACAGAGTGTTATAACAATATTCAGTTACCAATTTAAGAAAAGCCCTGTGCACAAACTGAGCACTCTGGCATGACTAAACAACCCTGAAGTAGAGAGACTCCAAGAAGCTCTGTAGATGTGGGTTTGAATCCCCTTTCGCCACTAAATTCCCTTTTGCCAGGCTCCACGCTCACAAACATGGCTCCTCCAGCCACAGCATTCACATGCAGCTGTAGCTCACATGATGGAAGTATCCCAAACAGACCCACCAGGACGTGTCAGATCTTGGGTGGGGTTCAGGAGCATCAGACAAAGGGAGTGCAGCAAGGGAAACACCTTTGCAAAAGGCATTCCAGTTATCTCCCCGATAGCTCACTGGGGAAAGGCACTCATGTCTAACTGGAGTCATCAGTTCAGAGATCTGGGGAGGGGGTACTAACAAAAAGGCAAAACTCACTTTCGTGCCTAATGAAGACAGCTGCAGTCAGTAAGAAGCGGGGAGTGAACTAATCCACATTCATCAAATCCCAATGAAATGGAGGTACTGCTATAAAGCAATCTATGTTTACTGAACAGCATTAGGAATACTAACAGCACATCAGATGAATGGGGTTGCCAATTCTCTTGTTCCAATGAGGCATCTGTGCCTTTGGAAACTGCACTCTCAGACTGCAGGACCAGAGACAAAACTACCCCTATCTCTACATGCCCATTAGGAGGGTAGTTGTGCTGGTCAGTACATGTCATGCAGCTTCAAATGGCACAGGAGCTAGGCTAGAGCAAGAAAGGTGGCAACCGCACAATAGCACAGCTGGAAGCATACTGGAGGTACACTGGCAAATCTTATTGATGCCACTTTCCCACCCATTCTGAGCCCTCAAGGTGACTAGCAGGTAAAATTTTTTTCAAAACAGCACATAAGATAATATATAAAACAACAATTTAAAAAATCAACAGGAATGAGGGTCAATAAGGGAACACCAAAAGAGACAGAAAAGTCTGCACTTGCTGGAAGAAGGTAATGACAGACACAGACAGACAAGTCTCCCTGGGAAGGGAATTCCATAGTTTTGGTGCCACAACCAATTAGGTCCTCTCTGGCCCCTGAAGATGATTAATGCTTAGGTAGGTTCTTATGGGAGTAGGTGGTTTTTAAGGCATGCTGGTTCCAAGCTGTACAGAGCTTTGAAGGTTTGTAACAGCACTTCGAACTGGGCCCAGAAACACATTGGAAGGACAGTTTAAATGGAACAAGGTTAAAAGTAATATAGTCCTTAACAACTTACTCCAGTCACCATGCTTGCTGCAGCATTCTGTACCAATTATAATTTCCAGACACCCTTCAAGGACAGCCCCACACAGACCACACTACCATACTCTAATCCAGATATTACCAGGGCATGCAGCACACCTCTTTATCCAACAGGTGGTCCAGGTCCAGCAGCACCCCCTGAGATACAAACCTGCTCCTTTAGCATATACCTTTGAGATATGTAATACACACAGCTTTTGAAGTTAGGATAGTGCTAAAAATATTACATTACAACCGAACCATCAGCTTGATGTCTATACCTGGAAAACTTTTAGAACTAATAATCAAACTTGAGCACTTAGAAAGGACAGCCGTAATTTTTAAGACCCAGCATGGGTTTCTCAAAAACAAGTCATGTCAGACTAAACTTGTCTCTTTTTTCATGAAAGTTACTACCTTGCTGGTTCAAGGGAATTCTGTAGACATAGTTTATCTTGATTTCAGTAAGGCTTTTGATAAGGTTCCACATAATATTCTTGTTGACAAATTGGTAAGATATGATATGGATCCTATTACTGTTAGGTGGATCTGTAACTGATTGACAGATGGCACCCAATGAATGCTTGTTAATGGTTCCTCATCCTCTTGGAGAGGACTGACAAGTGGAGTGTCTCAAGGATCTGTCCTGGGACCTGTTTTGTGCAACATCTTTATAAATGATTTGGAATAGAGGGAATGCTTATTAAATTTGCAGATGATACTAAATTGGGAGGAGTAGCAAATAAAGTAGAAGATGGAGTCAGAATGCAGGATGATCTTGACAGGCTGAAAAACTAGGCTAAAACAAATAAAATGAATTTCAATGGGAATAATGTAAAGGTCTGCATTTAGGTAGG